AACAAATCATTGATTGTCTTTAGATGTTTGAAGGATGTTGGCATTTTCTTCTCAACAGCTCTGCGACGGCCCAAGACGGCCCAAGAGGCCCCCAATGTCGTCCCAAGAGCGCCCAAGAGGCCTCCAAGATGGCACCATGAGGGCCCAAGAGGCCCCCAAGAAGAGCCCAAGACGGCCCAAGATGGCCCCGAAAACGCCGAAGATGGCCTCCAGGACGGCCAAGATGGCCTCCAAGATACCTCCAAGACGGCCAAGAAGGCCTCGAAGACAGCGAAGCTGGCCCCAAGATGCACCCAAGACGGCCACAGATGGCCTCAAGAAGGCCTTAGATTATTCAAAAGGCCCGCAAGAAGCCTCCAAGACGGCCCAAGAGCCCTCCAAGACGTCCTCCAGGAAGGCCCGAAAGGGTCATGTTGGCCTCCAGACGGCCAACATGACCTTCAAGATGCTTCCAAGACAGCCAAGATGGCCTCCAAGACGGCCAAGATGGCCCAATTGAGCCCCAGGGTGCCTCAAGAGCCTCCCAAGAGGACTCTTCCTCCCCTCCCCTTTTTCCTCACTCCCCTCCTCTTCCCCAACCTCCTCCACGTGTTCCCCGAATGCTTTCCAAACCGATTCGGGGAACACTCGTTCCGAACAATTGGCAAGGATCTGACCCAACCTTCGGCCACCAGGCCCCAAGACGCCTCCAAAAGCTCACAAGAGCCCCCAAGGGGCCCCGAACACGCCCATTCCTCACTCTCCTCCTCTTCCCCGTCCTCCCCCACGTGTTCCCCGAAGGCTTTCCAAAGCGATTCGGGGAACACATGGTCCGATAGCTTGGCAGGGCTCTGGCCTCAACGTTCGGCCACATAGGCGCTTCCGAAAAGGGCAGGGGGCGGCGGTGACTCGCCGTAGGCGTCTTCGATCCGCCGCCCCCTGTTGGCTTGCCACAGGGATGCCCAGCGTGCTGGACGTTCTGAAAATGTGTTTGGTTCTTTTAGAACTCCACCCCGGCCGTTGGCTCAGCGCGCCTGTTGCCTGTCTCGTCGGCTGTTTCGCTTCAGATGGCTGCACGATGGCCTCAAAAGTGGTCAAGAAACCTTCAAAACAGCCGAGATGGCCCCGATAGAGCCCAAGACATCCCCAAGATTGCCTCCACGACGGCCTCAAGATTTGTCCAAGACCGCGAACATGTTCTAAAAGAGCCCAAGACGGCCGAAGAAGCGCCCAAGAGGTGCCCAAGACGGCCCAAGAGGCCTCCGAAAGGGCCTCCAGGAAGGGCCGAAGAGGCCACAATCATTGATTTCCCCTAGGTCTTTGAAGGGTTTTGGCTTTTGCATGTGTTCGGTTCTCCAAGGGCCCAAGACGGCCCAAAAGGCCCCCAAGATCGCCCCGGATCACCTAAGAGGCCTCGAAGATGGTCCCAAGACGGCAGAAGAGGCCTTCAAGACGGCCCCGATCAGGGCCCCAGGACGGCCCAAGACGCCTCCACACGACGCTGAATATGGCCTCCAAGACGGCCCTGAAGGCCAAAGAGGGCCCCAAGTTGGTTCAGAGAGGCATCCCAGACGGCCTCCGACGACGTCAGACGGGCCAGGAACGCCGAAAGACAGCCAAATAGGCCCCGAAGAAGCCCCAGAGGCCCCCAAGAGGCTCAAGAGGGCCCCCGAAGACCTCCACAAGACTCCCAGAAGACTCCCAGAAGGCTCCCAGGAGGCACCAAGAGTGGCCCCAGAAGCTCCTAAGAGGCCTCCTCCTGCCGTTCTCCTGTTTCCCCTGTTTCCTCCCTTTCCTCTTCTTTCTCTTCCTCCCCCACGTGTTCTCCGAAGGGCTTCCAAAACGGCTGGGGGAACGCATGGTCCAATAGCGTGGCTAAACTTTGCCCAACCGATTGGCCTCGTAGGCGTACCCTAAAAGGCAGGGGTCGGCGGTGATTCGCCGTAGGCGTTTTCGCTGCCCACTGTTGATTTACCACAGGGGTGCCTGGCGTGCTAAACTTCTTAAACTATCGTGGTTCTTTTGGGTCTCCCCCTCGGGCTTCGGCCCAGCACGCCAGCCACCCCGAAAGCGGCTCGACAGGTGATTACCAAGGTTTTCCCTGCTCCGGATGGCTCCAAGATGGCCTACGATGGCCTCCAAGACGGCCAAGATGACCCCCAATTCCGCCCAAGATGGTCCAACATGTCCTCCTAGACGGCCCAAGAGGGTCTACGATGCTTCCAAGGCCGCCCCAGAAGCCCCACAGACGGCCCAGGAGCCCCCCACCTCCAGGAGTGTCCGAAGAGGGCAAAATCATTCGCCAAAGTCATTGGCTTCCCTCTGGTTTTAAAGGACTTGGGCATTTGCTTCACAACTGCCTTCCGATGGCCCAAGACGGCACCAAAAATCGCTCCCAGAGCGCCCACGAGGCCTCCAAGATGGCCCCATAACGGCCCAAGTGGCTCACAATAGAGCCCCACAACAGCCAAAAAAGACCTCCAAGTCGCCCAAGATGGCCTCCAAGACGGGTTCGGAGCGCCCTGAGAATGCCAAAAGACTGCACAAATATGCCTCCAAGACGGCTTCCGACTGCGTCAGACATGCCAGGAACGCCCTACGACGGCCAAAGAGGCCCCCAAGAAGTGTCCAAATGCCCCCAAGAGGCCCGAGGCCTCCAAGAGGCCTCCAGAGGCCCCCAGGAAGATCCAAGGAAACCCCAAGTGGCCTGATAGGCTTGAGAAGCCTCCTCCTCCTCCTCCTCCTCCTATTTCCTCCGTTCCCTCTTCTTCTTCTTCTTCGCCTTCTTCTTCGTCTTCTTCTTCTTCTTTTCCCCCCCGTGTTCCCCAAAGGGTTTCCCTTCGGTGGAACTCCCTTTTGGGCCACGATTCGTGTGAGGGGTGTGCCGGAATGGGTGTGGCGGACGGATGTAGACGGTGCCACTGGGGCTTTGGGGTGGAGCTCCTTATGGGGCCAGAAAACGTGTGAGGGGTGTGCCGGAATGGGTGTGGCGCGCGCATGTGGACGGTGCCTCTGGGGCACCGCCACACCCATTCCGGCACATCCCTCACACGCTTCGAGGCCCCATATGGAGCTCCACCCAAGGCCTCAGTGGCACCGTCCACATGCGTCCGTGATTTTATCGCCTTCCCAAAGAACAATGTGGGGCGTGGACACCATGATCGATTCCCCCTCGGAAATCACAGATAAACAGCTCGCCGAGCTTTCTATCGCCACCAAGCTGCACCTGCAGCAGAGAAGGGTGCGGCTGCTGGCGGCTACCCAGCAGCCGCTTGAGGGCTGGCCTGGACGTTCGGCTTTCGCGAACCTGGCGGGCTGAACTGTTTTTTTTTGTTCTTCTTCAAAGATCCCCCCTGGGGCCTCGGCCCAACCAAATGGCCATCCGGAAAGCTGTCTCCCATCGGCCTTTCCGCTTAAGATGGCGGCCAAAACGGCCAAGATGACATCCAAGACGGCCAAGATGGCCCTCAAAAAGCCCAAGATGGCCTCCAAGATGCTCCCAACACGCATCCCAGACCGCAAAGATGGTCCAAGTGCGCCCAGCACGGCCGAAGAAGCGCCCAAGAAGTGCCCAAGTCGGCCCAAGAGGCCTCCAAGAGGTCCTCCAAGAAGGCCCTTATAGGCCAAACTCATTGATGTTCCGTTGGAGCTGGAAAGCTTTTGGCATTTGCTTCAAAGCTGTCTTCCGACGGCCCAAGACGGCCCAAGTGGCCCGAAGATTGTCCCAAGATCGCCCAGGAGGCCTCCAATGTGGCCCCAGGACTGCCCAACAGGCTCCCAAGACAGCCCAAGAGGCCTCCAAGACGCCCACAACACGACCCTGAAGCGCCCCAAGAGGGCCCCAAGACTGTCCAGAGAAGCTTCCAAGACGGCTTCGATGGCGTCAGACGGGCCAGGAACGCCGTAAGACGGCCAACGAGGCCCATGAGAAGCCCTAAAGGCCCCCAAGAGGCCCAAGGAGGCCTCCAAGACGCCCCCGAGAGGCCTCCAGAAGCTCCCAGGAGGCCCAAAGAATGACCCAAGAAGCTCTCAAGAGGTCTCCTCGTCCTTCTCATCATCCTCTCTTTTCCTCCATCTCCTCATCCCCCTCTCCCTCCCCCACGTGTTCCCCGAAGGGCTTCCATAACGACTTGGGGAATTCATGGTCCAGTAGCGTGGACAGACTTTGCCCAATCTTTTGGCCACGTAGGCGTATCATAAAGGCAGGGGCGGCGGTGATTCGCCGTAGGCTCCTTCGAGATTGATCGATCAATATGTAGTATGTAACTATATAGATATATCACAGAGAAAGAAAGAGAGAAAGTGAGAGAGAGGGGATGCACCATTGAGGCATGCCAATCTCAAATTGCCAGAGGTCAAGCCGAGACCCTCTAGCAGCTGGTATGAATGACCAAGGCTGAGAACACGGTCGTGGGGCTTGGTTGTGGACCGTGTCCAGGTCCCGCGGACATTCACCGAGAGCGCCGAGGTGAGCCGACTAGATGAAACGAGAGCGAGCGTAGCCAAGTGCCAACCTCGACAGGTAATACCATAAGTCCCAATCGGCTGTTTCGTCGAAATCAGGTCGACCTGAGCTTGTAACACCTCCGCGAAGCTGGTATAACGGGAGATTGGTGCTGAGAATTCGTTACTCCCTCATGCTCTGAGGCATCGCCAGGACCCAACCGGCTGAGAACGCAGGCTCTCGCGGGGAGGGACGATCACACCCCGCTGTCCATCGTCAAGCGGCCCTGGCCCCTCCTCACCCTCCCCCCTTGTTTGTATGGAGGAGGAGGAGGAGGAGGAGGAGGAGGAGGAGGAGGAGGAGGAGGAGGAGGAGGGAGCGCGACCACCAGAGTTCGACACCTCGGCTATGTAACAACACAGTGCGAGTCAAAGAGTCGCCAGGCACACCCAGAACGCCACACGAGCTGATCTGCTGTAGGCGAACGCATAGAACCTTGGCCTCCTCCTCATCCTCAACCTGCCCACCTTAACCAACAACGAACACGCTGGAGGAACCAGCGAAAGTCCCAGAGCTCCTGCATGAGCCTTCGGAAGGTCATGTGCGTGTCGACCATGGCGCGGCACTCCGCGTCCCCGCTGCGGCCCGCCCTGCCACTGGATGGGGAGTCGGCCTTGCCCTGGCCGAGCCACACGACGGGGAACTCACACGCGGAGTCCTTCCGCGAAGCCGGAGAACCAGTGGATCTCTCCTCTCCCTTCCACTCGTCGGTCCAGCTCCCTCGTTCATCCTCCCTCTTCCCTCCGTCCTCATGCCTCCTCCTCCTACGCCTCCTGCCTCCTTCCCTCCCTCTCTCCCCTCCCTCCTCCCTCCTCCACCCCTCTGCGCTCTCCCCTCCCTCTCTCCTTCCTCGCCCCTCCCCCCTCCCCCTATCCCCCTGTTTCCTCCTCATCCTCCAACTCCCATCCTCCTGCCCCTCCTCATTTCCTCCCTCCCCTTCCTGCTCCCCACCTCTTTACTCCCTCCACCTCCCTCCCTCTTCCCTCCTTCCATCTCTTTTGTATCAAGTCCTACTCCCTTTCCTTCTCCTCCGTCCTGCCTCCTCAGTTGGGGGCCCAAATCAGAGTCAGGCTGAACGTACCCCACATGTGAAATTAGCCCTGCCACACCTGCATCCCGCAATGGGATCCCACTAATCCCACCAGCCCCCCTGGGAGTAGGCAGCTTAGCAAATTAATGATTACAATCCCATTATTGTGTTTCTTCTTCTTTCTCTTATTTTTCTTCTTCTTCTTCGGGGAGGGTTTACCCCTCCCCTCCCCAACGCCGGAAAAATCCCCCCTCGCCGCGCGAAGCATCCCGGGGGTTGCTTGGGGTCAACCTGGAAGCCTTTTAGGGACCCTCGTGAGGATCTCTGGGGGCTTCGGGGCATCTTGGGGACAACCTGGGGCCTCGTTGGCGCCAAAGACGCTTGATGCCGTTAGCTTTATCGAGATTTGGAGCCGCTTGGGGCCTTCTTGGGGCCCACTTCTCGACGGGCAGCGTCAATTATTACGATTTCGAGTGGACATCGGCTCCTCTGCGGCAGAGGCGAACGCGCTGGTGAAGATAGTCCCGGCGTCTTCAATGCGATCAGAGCCCACTACGACGACGTACCTCCTGGCGGCGGTGGTCCTGCGCGCGTTGGTGGTCCACCCAGGCATGGCCTTCGCTTCCGCCGCCTCCCACGGGCGGCCCTCGGCAAGGCGCAGCTGTGCGAAGAGACTCGCGGTGTGCTCGTAGCCGAACGTGACGAGGCCCACAGAGCGGAGCTTGCGCTGGTACTCCAAGATCTGCGAGGGCGCGGCGACTCCGCGTCGAGGAGGCAGATCCTCAGTGAATATTCTCAGTAAGGTGTCGCCCATCTTTACCACATGTCCTCGAGAGAGGGGTGGGTATGAGGAGGGAGCGAGGGGGACGGGGAAGAAAGAAAGTAGAAGGGGGATGAGGAGTCGGGTGGTGCCCATCTTGACTGCATGCTGCGAATCCTCGCAGAATATCCAACAACGGCTCGTGCTGGCCCCTGCCGTAATTGGCTTCAAACAGTGAGTCGCTCAGCATCATCAGCGAGGGTGGGTCAAACTCCACCAGTCTTGCAGCAGTCTCGGCAACGATCTTTGAGAGGCACTCCGTGAAGTGCTCCGGGCCAAGCTGGCTGATTGCCCAGGCCATATTGGACAGATGCTGCGGCGTTCCCTCATGCATCCTTCTCACAGCAGCATGGCCAATGGCCCGAAGCAGCCCATGGTCTTCATCGTACCCGAGTCGAGCATATGCCCAAAGCAGATTCGACAAGTGCTGTGATGAGAAATCGTCCATCCGCAACTTTGCTACACGGCCAGCAGCGGCCAAAAACGAGTCGTTCTTGTAACCGTTGGTAGCACAGGCCCAGACCAGCTGGACCAAATTCTGTGGCACAAAATTGTTCATCTGTTCAACCGCGGCAGCGCACAATGCCTCGAAAGCAACTTCTGCTTGGTAGGATAACTTTGCCAGTCCCCATGAGATCAGTGCAATATTGAGCGGCTGGAATTCGCCAGAGCGGGCAATAATTGCGCCCAAAGCCATCCTTAAGAATTCGTCCACAGAAGGGTCATCCTTATCCACCGCCGTGCCCCATGACACGCTCAAGCGATGTAGAACGCCAAGGACTTTGTGGCAAGGATCCTGGGAACCTTATAAGGCCGTCCTTCTAAGACGGCCCACGGATACCACAAGGACGCCAAGATGGCCCAGCAGTGTCCCAATTGTCATGCAACAGTCCCACAGAAGGCTAAAAAAGGTGCCACTGTGCCTTGGAGACACACATGAAAAGGCTAACAGGCCTTCCATGTACCCAATGAGAATACAATGCTAACCAGAGTGGGCCCCACATAGTGTGGTCATATCATCCTGCGTTGTGCAAGAAGAAACTGCAAGCAAGGTTGTGCAATATATGTTGTGCCACCTAGGTTGTGCAATTTATGTGTTGCGATTTATTGCGTGCTGTTTCAAAGGTACAATCAATGTTGTGCAATCCATGTGGGGCAACGGATGTGGTGGAATCCATGTGGTACTGCTGTGCGTTGTACAATCTACGTGGTGCAATCCATGTTGTGCCACGTATGTGGTCCAGCCTATGTGGTGTGCATCCTAAACGGTGCAATATATGTGGGAGAACGTATGTGGTGCGATCTATGTTGAGCAATATATGTTTTACATCCACAGTGGTGCCATGTATGTAACCCGCTGCTTGCGCAAACATCCCACCTACCCACCCGCTCGCGCACAGAGCGGCCAACTAGTCTGGCGCGACCGGCGCGGCAGCGGTGGCGCTGACTGCTGGTCACTTCCCAACGCGTCTCTCAGGTCGCACTGGCGCGTATGCACTTCAGTGCGGGTCCGTGACTCGGGCGGGCGCGGTATCATGGCGACGTCGACAAGCGGACACGATGATGATAGCAACGACAATGGTGGCGATGATGACGACGACGACGGTAAGCCCAATGACGGAGCCGACGCTGGTCACGTCGATGACGGTGATAATGTCCGCGTGTCGGCGATGAAGAGTGTAGAAAGATTTCGACATGCGCGCGCGGTCGACGCGCGCGAGTGGTCCGCATAGTATCATGTCACAGGGATCGTGCCCCCAAACAAACGCGCAAGGGCGTCCGAATAGTTTCGACATGCGCGCGCGAGGCCCGCATGGCTGAATTTGGTAACGCTGTTGAAACACCTGAGGTTTCCCTTAGAATTCGCAAGATCATGTCGAAAAACATTGGTTGTTCCGTATGCTACCGGAAACGTAGATCTTGACATCCATACGGCACCGATGTTTTCTGTTGGGGAAAATCGGCATGCGCGCGCGTCAGCGCGCGCGTGCCGATGTTGTACAGTTGTGTGCAAGGAACTCATCAGAACTGTCAGGAATTCATCAGAACTGATGAGTCTTGTGCAACGCGAGTGCGCGCATATAATCATTTGGCAAGGACGGTGGTGGGATAGGCCGACGGCCACTGGATAAATGCTGAGTGAGAGGAGGGGAGGGAAAAAGAGAGGAGGGACGAGGGCGAAGAAGGATCACATCAGTCGGAGCGCCCCGGATCGGCGGCACTGGCCAAAGGTCACTACAATAATCATTTGACAAGGACGACAGGGCGGCGACGGGGCGGCGGCGACGGCAGCACAGCCGCGAGACCGCCGCGCACGCCCCGCCGACGGGCGGCGACGAGGCGACCACGGGGGCGGCGACGGCGCCCGCGGCGCCGCAGGGCCGCCAGACGGGCCCGGACGACGGGCGGCGACGAGGCGGCCACGGGGCGGCGACGGCGACCACGAAGCCGCCAGACCGACATGTAGGCCCAAACTGGCCATCGCTCGGACGTCCATTCTGACTACCTACCAGACCACCCCAACCCAACCCGAAGACCCTAATTTCGGGTTGGGGGGGGTAAGGGTTCCACATGTGTTTTTTCGATGTTTCCCGACCCCCCCCCCCCACTGGAAATCGAATGTAAATCTGAGCCTTCGGGTTGGGTTGGGGTGGTTTGGTGGGTGGTGACATTCCCTGTGCTTGTTTTGGTTTCGTGCGTGGTTTCTCCGCGAAGTGATCAAGGATGCTCCTCGATGGTCCTCGCCGAAGGAAACATGCACACGTCCGAGCGATGCCAAGCAAAACACGGGCGGCGACGAGGCGGCAGCGGGGCGGCGACGGCAGCAACATAGCCGCCAGACTGTCGCGCAAGCCCAGACGACGGGCGGCGAGGCGGCGACGGCGGCCATACCGCCACACCTCCACCCAAAGAGAAGTAAGAACCCGCCGGAGTGCAAGTACTACTTGGGGAACAAATAAGAAACACTACGTGCAGATACTGTTAGGGGAAAACCTGAAACATCAGTGGGCCCGGAAAAACGGCCCAGGCAGCCCCAGACGGCCCAGTACAGCCCCAAGAGGTCCCCACGACGGGCCGAGAAGGGTCTAAGATCGCCTAACACAGCCCAACGATGGTCCAAGAGGGCCTCAAGGTAGCCTTAGGAGGCCCCTGCACGGCCGAGAGGGGCACAAGACGGCCCAAGAGGGCCCCGTTAGGTCCCCAAGACGGCCCCAGAGGAGCCCAAGGCAGCCCTACGACGGTCCAGGTAAGCCTCAGGAGAGCCTCTCAATGAGTGACCACAAGGCGTGTCACATGTAACAGTCTTCTTGGCGTCGTCATCCAGATTGATGCGCTGGCACGATATAGCGGAACTTGCCGCAGGCAGCTGGATAAGAAACAGTAGCCATCGCCCAAATGACTGTGGCCAGATTTTGGCCTGTGAATGAGCGCATGAGCTCAATGGACCGACGGGCAATGTATGCCATCAACTCAGGGTCGTAATCACCACGGGTAGCCAAGGCCCACGCAATCATAGAAACCTCAGACGGAGCATATTCCTTGAGCTGCATGACCCGGTTTCGGAACGCTGTGCGCCACACATCGTCGACAGGGTATGCCAGCTTCGTGAGAGACCAATTCACGATAGCCAATTCTTGCGAAGTGAAATCGCTCAAGCGTCGCAGCGACTCCTTCACAAGCGCAGCGTGCAAAGCATCGGCTTTAATACCGGCGGTAGCGGTGGCCCAAATAAGATTAGCAATGTTCTGCGCGCCGAATGTATCAAGCTTGCGTTGCGATTCGTCAGCGATTGCCGCCATGAGTTCATCGTCCCGAAGACCCACGGTGGCGAATGACCACGCGATCAGCGACAATCCCTGAGGATCTATCTCCTTGATCAGGTGCCGGGCGCGCGCAGACAGGCGGCGGAATATATCCTCGTTGCGGCACTGGAGCTTCGCGAGGCCCCAGGTGGCGTCAGAGAGACCCCATGGCGATAGGTCGCTACACTTGGCCCAGATCAGCTGCAACAAGCGCGGAAAGCGCCAGTCTGCAAGGACCAGCTGGGTTTCTCCAGCGTTGAAACTGAACCTGGCAACTCGATGTATGGCAGTTGAGGTGTTGCGGAAGTCGAAGATGTCCCCAAAGCTGTCGACGACGGCGAGCACCTCCTGCCAGCTGGTGCACTCGGTGACCGAAACTTGCAGATCTATGGTGAGCTGCTTGGACGGAGCTGGGGGTACGTAGACGTAACCGCTGGGCGCTAGAACAACACCATTGATTATATCTTCCTCGGATGATAGAAGAACGCAGCAGCAGCTTACACATACACTTTCGGAGATCTGCGCGGATCTCCGAAAGTTTACGGTCGAGAGTTTGTGCTTAGCGTGTCGCAGCGGCGGCCAGGGAGACACGCTATGCCCTGCGGGCTGATAGCGTGTCGCTCCACTCCGCGGTGCTTGAGTCTGGGAACAGGTCGGGACGTTGGCGCTCGGGGACCGGCCGAGACGTGGATAGCGTGTCGCGCTCAAGCGTGGTGGGCCAGAGCAGGCGGAGCGACACGCTGAGCCAAATTTCATGACCGTGTGTGTGCGTGTGTGCGTGTGTATGCAATCTGTGGTTCTTCGAGATATCCCGGCCGCAGCCCACTCTGATGGACGCACCACGCTCACAGCCATGGAATATCGAGCATGGCGACGGTGGCGCGCCTGGGGTCGAGACCGCTCGGACCAGCACGGCTGCGGGCGTAGAGGGCGATACTGGATTCGAAGACGACGAGAAGGCCAAACAACCGAAAGGCCAAGGGAGGCGCCGAAACGGAATGCGGACTCCTGTCCCGATCCCCATCCTCCTCCTCGTCCTCCTCCTCGTCCTCTTCGTCATCTTTCTCCTCACCCTCCTCGTTGTTTTTTCTCTGGCAGGTCATCATGGAGTCGATTCCTCCTCGTCCTGATGCTCCTCAACACGCTCCCCATGCGGGGCGATCTCGCGCACCTCCGGGCTGGCAGATGCCTCCTCGTCCGGCGCTCCTCCCAACGCACGGGGGCTCTCAGCAAGCAGATGCCAAGGGCCGTCGGGGATTCTTGCAGGCCGCCGCCATCCCTGACTGAACCCACTGCGAAGGGTGCCTGTTGCCGTCGCGGTTTGCCACTCTTTCACCGCTGGACGCGCACCATTACTGATCCGATGGCCTTCTATGGATACCCAGCCTTGGAGTGTCTACGGCCTACGGCCCAAGGCCCACGCGCCAGCATCGCGGCGTACCCGTCCTATGTCGAAAGCTGGGCGAAGGCTGCTAAAACCGTGGCTGCTAAAACGGCCCTCCCGGAAGGAAAAAACAACTTCCCGGAATGAGGCCCGGCACGCGACACAGTCAACGGGCTTCTTCCCGGAAGGACGAAGACAACTTCCCGGAGGTCGATTCTAGCAGCCACGGATTTAGCAGCCCTTGCCCGGCTTCCGAATGTGGCTCCCTTTCGGGATGCCGAGCCTGCACCGTCCGGGGGCACGCGTGCCCGTCGTGGCGTGCCGATCGTGTAGCGTGCTGCGGGTACCGAGCTTGCTGTGTGTGGCCCACGGGCCAGCACCGCGGTGCACCAGTGCGGCAGATCTCTCAGACTCCCCATCTGCGACTGGGCACGCAGGTTCCAAGGGTCCCAGCGAAGCCATGCGTCACTCTGTCAGTTGTTGAGTTCGACAGATCGGAAAAGAGAGGGGGGGGCGAGCAAGGGTGGCGCCCGCAAGATCAGCTCCGCTCTCCCGATGCGAACGGCTCTTCCTGCCCCATCGGGTCACGTAAAATGCTCACCTGAGCGCTGGGTCCATCCAGGACGCCCCGGGCACAGAATACGCGATAACGATGACGTGGAAAATGCACCGCGAGGCTCAGTCTTGCCTGCGTGCCCAGTTTATGGTGAAAGGCTTGAAGCCCTCGGTCGTTTTTTTTTCTCGGCAAACAAAGCTCGGTGCCCCCCTTTATACTTGAAATCTCCGCCACCCCGCGCGGGGCCATGAGTGGTAGCGACAGCGCCATAGATAGAGTCAGCGATCGTCATACAGGAGCAGTCTGGCCCGCGATAAATGAGGCCCTCGGCCGTCGGCCTGCTGGAGAACGGCAGAGCCGGCGTCCTCGTGGCGTGGACGCGGAGCCTGCGGATTGGGAAGAAAGCGCTGCGCGTCAAAAGCTGTCCCAAATTGCCCCGGCTGATGACGCTCGCCAAATAGAGCATTCAAAGTGGCCATTCCTGCTTTTCATGCTCGAACTGGTCGTGCTCTTGACTATTCTGTTCCCTGGCCCCCCGCTCCCACCTGCCCAACCGTCCTCCCCCTCCCCCATCTCGCCTTTCCTTCTTCATCAACAGTCTCTTCCTCCTCCGCTCCCCCCTCCTCAACCCTCTTCCCTCGCCCTACGACTGCAACCCCTGCCCACTCTTCCTTCCTCCTCTTCCTTTGTCTTCCTTTGCGCTCCTCTTCCTCACCCTCCCTGCTCTCTCCTCTTATCTTACTCCCTCCCACTCCCCCCCAGATTCCTCGTCCGTGTCCTACTCCTGCCTGTTCGTCGTCCTCATCCTCATCATCTTCCCAGTTATCCTCATCCTCATCCTGGCTCTCCTCGCACTCATAATCCTCCTCCTCCTGCTCGCACTCCTGTTTCTCGCGCTCCTTCTCCTCCTCTTCCTCCTCCTCCGCCTCCTCCTCGTCATCATCATCATCATCATCATCAGCATCATCATCATCATCATCATCATCATCAACATCGTCATCATCATCGTCATCATCATCATCATCAGCAGCATCAGCAGCATCATCATCATCAGCAGCATCAGCATCAGCATCAGCAGCATCAGCATCAGCATCATAATAATCATCATCAGCATCATGCGCATCATCATCATCACCACCAACATCATCATCATCAGCATCATCATCATCAGCATCAGCATCATCATCAGCATCATCAGCAGCATCATCATCACCATCACCATCACCACCACCACCATCATCAGCAGCATCATCATCATCAGCATCATTATCATCATCGTCATCATCGTCGTCATCGTCATCATCATCAGCATCTGCTCCTCCTCCCACTCCTCCTCTTCAGCCTCCTCTTCATCCTTTTCCTATCCTCCTCTCCCCCGAAATCCACGAAGGTCTCCAGAAGCACAGGCGGCGCCCAAAACTGCCAGAACCTCGATCCACGAACCTCGATCCTCCTCCTCCTCCTCCTCCTCCTCCTCCTCCTCCTCCTCCTCTCCTCCTCTTCCTCCTCCGCCTTGCACTCCCATCCTTGCTCCGCACCCTCCTCCTTCCTCTCTTCCTCCCCCTCCGCCTCCTCCTCCCTCGCGCCTCGCGCTCCTCTTCCTCCCGCGCGCCAGATTGTACCAGCCGCCGCCGGGCTTCGCGACGAAGTCGCCGACCGCGAAGGCCCGCAGGGGGGGCAGCAAGTGCTCCTGGGGCGACAAATGCTCCTGCCACCGCCCCTCCCTACATATCACCGTGTCCCACGTGCTCATCCCTACTCCTGCTGTTCCTCCTCGCTGCTCCCCCTGTCCCTCCCCTCTCTCACTCCACCTCCTCATCCTCATTGACATCCGCCTTGTCCTCCTGCCCATCCACCTCTTCCCCTACCAGCCGGTCCACCTTGTCCTCCTCGTCCTAATCGTCGTCATCGTCCTCCTCCTCCTTCTCCTCCTCCTCGTCCTAATCGTCGTCGTTGTCCTCCTCCTCCTCGTCCCGTATTCTCCTCATCCTCTCATGTCCTTAACTACCCGCCCTCATCGCCACCTCAACCTCCTCAATCCTCGTCTCCTGACGCATCATGCCCCCCTCCGTCCGCGACTTTCCTCTTCTCCATTCCTCATCTCTCATCTCCTGTCCCTCTCCATCCAGCTCCCTCCATTGCTCAATCCCTCCGCCTGCTCCCCCCCATCATCCCTGACTCGCCTCCTCCATCTCCTTCTCCTCCTCCTTCTTGCGTTAAGCAGACTTTGAGCGGAACTCGCAGCGTCGTGCAACAAGACTCTTATGAGTAAGCAAGAAAGAAAATCCCAGAGATAACCAAATGCAGCGACAAAAAGTCGTGTGCGACATAATGCCTGAAGGTTTGGAAAACTGGAAAAAGGAGAGGCTCACAAAGGAGCTTTGCCAGCATGCCCTGCCGGAGTAGGCACAAGCAAAGTTACCCCCACCCACCACCAACCCATCCACTCTACAATCCGAACCCTCCCATGACAGGGACCCTCGCCGAGGGCAGTTCTAACCCTCACCGAGGGCAATTGGCAGTACGTGTCTAAAATACCTTTACCGGGGGAGTATGTAAGCATGCCGTGTGCGACGTGCTACCCTCCTCCACCACCTCCTCCAGATGGCCTCTGCCAAAGATTACAAAACGCCTGCTGGGTATGTTTTTGTTGCCGCACGTGTCCCTACCAAGCTTACAGACGGCCGCGACTCGTTCTCAGCATTCGGAGTTCAGTGCGGAAAACTAAACATGTGCACACTGATACTTTGTGGCGCAGCCAAAGGTGATAATAATGATACCCTGCCCGCTTCTTAACTCACCCTACGCTGATCCCCCGCGGCTGCCCTCACTGAGGGTCGAATATAACAACGACTCATTTTCAACATTCCGGACGCAGCGCCAAAAGAGCGATGAGACTGGCAACACTGAAACGCTTCCACTCCACCTACTCACCACCTGCTCTCAACTGCCCTCTTGGAGGGTCTTAACTGGTCTGCACTAACACAGTAGAAACGATGGGTGTATATGGGCACTGTCAGCTCGATACCGGTCTGGCCGCTAGCCCTCGACGAGGGTCTTGAATCGAGCCGCGACCACAGACTCCTCCTCCCCGCATTCTCTAAATAGACCCTCCTCCTCCTGCACCACCTCCTCCAGATGCGCCGCGCCGAAGATTGCAAGGCACCTACTCGGTATGAACTTGTGCCGCATTCGTCCTCATAGCCGCGACTTGTTCTCAACATTCCGCGTGCAGTGCGGAAGGATAGCGATGCGCAAGCTGCTCAGTAATGGTGCCGCCAAGTGTGACAGTAGTGAAACCGTATATTCTTCTTAACTGGCCGCTAGCCCTCGCCGACGGCCTTGAAACGAGTCGCGAAGCCAGACTCCTCCTCCTCATCCTCCTCCTCCTCCTCTTCCTCCTCCTCCTCCTCCTTCCCATTACCTCATGCCCGGCCCCTATCCTTGCGTCGCCCCGCCCCCCATCACGAACCTACTGCCCGCACTGTGCGCGTGGCGGTCGACTCGCTCGTGGCGGTCGTCTCGCTCTGTAGTTGAATCCCAACTAGCAAGAGCTGGGGCTCTGAAGTATAAAATGCCGATCGCATCGTTTTCTCAACCCCTTCTGCTGGTCCGATGCCCTCACCGAGGGCCCGTGCTGGAGGACTGCCGTTGCCGAAAGTCTGTTCACTGGCAGGCTGCACGCACCGCGGGCCAAGCAGGAAAGTTTCTCCGCCTCCGCCGCCGAATCTTTGGACGCCCGAAATGGGTACGGGAAGAATGGGTACAATGCCCAACAACAAATGTTGTCCCAAACCAACAGCGGCCGCGTTGGGCAGGCGGCCTTCTGTCTCGAATGGACACAGGCCGCGGCGGCGTGGACAGCGAGTCCTGTTCAAAATGAACAAGATCCGCTGTTGGGCATTGTACCCATTCTTTCCGTGCCCATTCCGTTCGTGCAGAGAGTCAAATCAATGCACACCTGCACCTTTTTCCAGCACCAAGACGAACGCTCGGAAACTTGCGTTCCTTGGGATCAAATATGCTGGTAACGATAGGGACGAGTAGAAGTACGAAGAGGATGGTGGTGACGAGAGCGACAAGGAGGAGGGGCGTGCAGCACTGCTGGGTCGGTGCCCTCACCTGAAGTCTTTGGTGGCAGAGTGCTCTCACCGAAAATCTCTTTATTGCAACGCCAGGCTGCCCGGCCGCCCTCCGAGCCACGGCCTCCACTTCCTCAGGCACAAGAGCGAGAGCGCGCAAAACAGGACCGTTTGAGGTCGTGTAAGCTGATGGCGATGAAGACGGATATGATGGTGCTGATGATGATGATGAGGAAACACCGGGCGAAACATGTGAATGTGATGTGCCCGACAGTTGCCACGCTCGCAACGCCTCATGCATGATGATTCCGTCGGACCATTGGGCCATCACCGTGTGGCCTACGCTGCAGAAGCTACGTTTGCGAAGAATGGCAGCAGTGTGTTATCCCTCATAGTTCAAGAAATTGACCACAGAACAAACGGTGTCATCCTTTGATGAAGGCCGTGGCAATGGATTTCTTGTCTCTTCTGCGCTCGGGGCATGCATAGATGGCGGCGGATGTGTCGATGAAGGTGGCAATCAACAGACATGTCAACTTGAGAAACGTACGTTTGTTCATGGTTTGCTGATCTGTCCGCTACAGATCTTGTTTGGCTGTAAAGATTGCAACGCTCGATGGGAATACCTTGAGGTTCTCGATCATACAATATTCTTCTGACCATACCATCGGAGCGCAATACACCACACTCTGCCGTGCCATTTAAGCCCACTGGCAGCCAAACAACCCGTGAATAGAAATGATACTTTAACCCTCAGGACTTGTCCAAGCAGCAACTTGGCCCGTCGTGAAAAGCGGCAATTCGGTAAAACACCGGTCGGGCGGGAATGCGACAACCCCATCCCGGCCTGCTGAGCGGCCGCTTGTGGAAGGCTCGAAGATGAGGCTGCTTCGATATCAGTGTGAAAAAACGGAACGGGTGCAACTGTGTGTGAAAACTGTCCGCGACAGAACCTCGGGGCCTCCACCTTCTCTCTCACGTCTGTCATTGTGGCTAAACTTGGCGACTAGGTTGTCACAACTCTCGACTGTGCCACTTCGGTAAAACGCGTGTTCCCAACAATGCAAGAACTGTCCACTGGATTAGTCGGCGGTGGCGGTGTCGAGGGTGAGTCAAGCACTTGCTGATCTTCGGCAGGGGGTGACGGCACCGAACGACGCTCAGGTCAGCTCGGATGGTACGGCGGCAAAACCAATATATTGGCTGGCACTCGGTGCGAAAACGCTCGCGTGCGTATCCCGCACATTGTGTTGAACATCGTCCTCATACAAAAGATGTGAAGATGTGTCGCCACTGCGACGTGACTGAATGGATTGCCATGGTTCAACCAGTACTTAGTAACGCCGACATGTGCGAGTTTGACGCGCGCGATGCGCGCTCTCGCCGCCTTGTCCATTCTCTGCATCGCTTGTGATACTTGCTCAACTTTTGGAAACGTAGGTGAAGCAACAAATGCGTGAGAAGCAAGCTGGGAAACATCCGAAAACATATGAACCATGAGCGGTCGTCTCCATCCGTGCCACCGTTGGCGCCTGCCTGAAAGCTGCGGCTCCCGCGCTGCCCGCAACCCACAAGATTCGGGCCCGCGGCTTCCTCCTCCTCCTCCTCCTCCTTCTCCCCCTTCCCCCCGTCTTCGCTATCATACCATCAGCATACCTACGTTGTCCATCTCGTTCCGCCCGCATCGTACCACACCCATTTACGTACCTCAAATGTCCTGCTCATCGCTCCTCATCTGTCGGATGCTCCGCTGCTCCCTTCTCCTTCTCTCAATCCGCTGTTGTTTTCATTTTCTCAGCGCGAAACACTACGGGTAACGCAACCGCATCGCGAATCAACATATCGATAGACAAAGCGGGAACGCCGCACAAGCCGACCTGCAAAGTGTCAAACGTATGCTAGGTACTGTGGCGTGAACAACACATCGGCAATGCACTTGCGACAAGAGGGAGAAGGACGAAAGAAAGCGACAGGAAGGACAAAAAGGAAGAGGAGAGCGGAAATGACTGAAAAATGCCTCAGGCGAACTAGACAAGATCAAACGCGCGAATTCGGATTACGACGGCGTGCGAAGTGAACCTAAAAAAAGAAAATCGCAACGCTCTTTTGGTGAAATCGCCCGCGGCCGCCGACATTTGGAGCAGCATGCGCTCATCGCAGAGCAGCACGTGCCAGGCCGCATGTTTACTTGACACTGGTGTTAGCGTTTGCCATGCGGAATGGGAACGGCCGCGCCCTAAGAATTCACGGGGTATCACGTATTATTCCTGGGTTGGCTGTTGGCGCGAAGGCGCGCGCTTTTATCTCGCAGCCCGTCGTCGGTTATGTGCCACTGCTTGACCTAATCAGCGCCAACTTGTTGGTGCACGTTCGTTTGGTGACCATCGGGGAATAAATGACGACGTACGGTGTCCCATGTGAAGTCCGAACTGGTCGTTTACTACCAATATTGTTCCCAACCATCGTGTGGTGTTGGCTCCTCGTTTTGATGAGACGGCGCTTTGCGTTCGCCTCCTCCCGGCTCCTCTTTCCGCCTCCTCCTCCTCCCACTCATCGCCATTATCATATCCTTGCCTCCGCCCACCGCATGTCTTTCTTTCAGCACACCCAGCCCAGCGCTTCGTAACCCCATCGGGAGCTCCACCGAAGGCCCCAGTGGCAGGGTTCGCATGGCGGCCTCGGGCCATGTCGGAACACCCCTCACGAGGATCGTGGCCCCATAGGACCCCCTCCGAAGTCCCCACTGACAGGGTTCGCACGGCGGCCCCGGGCCATGTCGGCACACCCCTCACGAGGATCGTGGCCCCATAAGGGCCCCACCGAAGGCGCCAATGGCTGGGTTCGCGTGGCGGCCTCGGGCCATTTCGGCACACCCCTCGCGAGGATCGTGGCCCCATAGGAGTTCCACCGAAGGCGCCAGTGGCAGGGTTCGCATGGCGGCCTCGTGGCATGTCGGCGCACCGTTCGCATGGCGGCCTCGGGCCAGTTCGGCACACGCCCTCATGAGGATCGTGGCCCCGTAGGGGCTCCACTGCAAGCGCCAGGTGGCAGGGTTCGCGCGGCGGCCTCGGGCCATTTCGGCACACCCCTCGCGAAGATCGTGGCCCCATGGGCGCTCCGCTGGAGGCGCCAGTGGCAGGGTTCGCGGAGCGGCCTCTGGCAATTCCGGCACACCCCTCACGAGGATCGTGGCCACATTGGGGCTCCGCCGAAAGCGCCAGCGGCAGGGCTCGCGTGGCGGCCTCGGGCCAGTTCGGAACACCACTCGCGGGGATAGTGGTTCCACAGGAAGGAGCTCCGCCGCGGGCCTCGGCGGCGGGGTTCGCGTGGCGGCCTCGGGCCATTTCGGCGCACCCCTCAAAGAGATCGTGGCCCCGTGGGAGCTCCGCCGGGGGCGCCAGAGGCAGGGTTCGCATGGCTGCCTCGGGCCATTTCGGCACGCCCCTCGCGAGGATCGCGGCCCCGTCGGGGCTCCACCGAGTGCCCCAATGGCAGGGTTCGCACGGCGGCCTCGTGGCATATCGGCGCACGCCTCGCGAGGATCGTGGCCCCGTAGGAGCTCCGCCGAAAGCGCCAGCGGCAGGGTTCGCGCGGCAGCCCCGGGCCATTTCGGCACACCCCTCACGAGGATCGTGGCACCATAGGAGCTCCACCGAAGGCCCCAGTGGCAGGATTCGCACGGCGGTCTCGGGCCATTTCGGTACACCCCTCACGAGGACCGTGGACCCATGGTTGTGTTGCTTCAACAACCGCGTCTGGGCGTCGTACTCCGCCTTGTCGACGTGCAGCGCCACCTCCTTCCTCGTAGCTCTCAGAACACTCTCCTGCTTCTGTTCCTCGGTCAGAGGAACGCTGTCCTCGTCGTCGTCGGCGCCCGCGAAGACGGCCACGAACGCGTCCGTGAGCACGTCGGCATGTCGGGTTCCAGCGGGGAGCCGCGGCCACATAGGAAGCGCGGGCAAAGATGGTATTCACAATTGCGGTATTCACAATTGCGCGTGGTTGGGTCCTTCGCCAGGCTAATTTGTTCCGCGGGACAGCGATATCCCACGTATGTGCCTCAATCGTTACGACCCAAAAGAATGTGGCGGGAGGAAACAGCAATGCGAAAATGGGAGGAGAGAGAAACGATATTCCTAATGCGGCCACCATGCGGGAAGCGACTGGCAAGCGACACGAGCTGTACAGGCAAAGACGGACACGCTGGGAGCAGCATGCACAACGCAGGCCGCACCCGCAGGGCGGGCAGAACGGGCGAAAGCCGAAGCTCGCCACGGCCACACTGCCTCAGCCATGCGGTGGGAGGCAGCGTACCATATGCAGAAGAGTTGGCTCAAGCCCTGGTTCAAGACTTCAGGTCTCAAGCGCAAGCGGACCCACGGCCCTATGAAACATGTTGGTTCAAACCCGTGATGAAGTCGCGCACCGCACTTCCACGGAGTGATTGAGGGGCACCATGTGTACCAAGGTTGGCTAGGTGGCGCAAGTATGATTCATCTTAATCATATCATGGCTATGGGTATGCACTCCCTTCATTTGCTGAACGCTATCGGGCCGTGAATGGGGCAGAACAAGCTGGAGAATATTTCAAATTGGGCTGCTCTGGGCTTGGCCATTGTTCACGGAGGATATGTGCAAGTTCCGTCCCAGGCCGAGGGTTGGGTTGGAGGCTCGCGGGCTTCGAGCCCATCTAAGCCCTTCACTCCTCGTCCTGGGCTTACCTTTTCCGATTCGGCTTCGAGAAGTTCCGCCCCAGGCCGAGGGTTGGGTTGGAGGCATGGGGGCTGCGAGCCCATCTAAGCCCTTCACCCCTCGGCTTGGGCTTATTATCTCTTTTGGCAGTGTCTGGAGCTCTTGTTGTCAGAAGCGCTACCTGTCTGGGTGGCCAGTGGCGAGGCTGTTTGTGGTTGAGGCGATATCTTTCGAGGTTACACGGTGACCCTTGGCTTGGGCCTTATAGAGTCGATGCCATTTCAGCTTAGGCGCTAGTTCTTTCAGAGAGGCTGTGGTTTTGATGGCTTGGTTTCAGATCTTAACTCGTCTTGATCATCAGCTCCGCGATTCGACGTGTGTTTGCTGGAATCCTGTCTTGAAAGCACTGATGAAGGGGAGCATGTACATCCTCCTCTACACCTTCCACCAGTACCAGTTGCACACGTCTCCTTTGTCATCTGAGGTGTGTGACAGTTGTAATGAATTTTGTCTTCGTCATTTTACCATTCCCCTTCCTGTTCCGTCCTCCCCTCTTTCCTGTTCCTCCTCCCCTCCTAGTGGTGTCGGGGCAAAACGCTCGGTAACCGGCGGCGGCTACCGCGCCAGAGCCCTGGCGCCGTCCCGTCCTCGCGGGCCGCGCATTGCTGCCCCTCTGCTGCACCGGGCGTCTTGTTTTGGTGCGGCCGCCACGATTCGCTTCAGTTCGCCATCGTGTTGTCGTTAATCACCGCCTCCACGGTCGTGTACTATCGGTCTCACGGCGTTGGGATCTCACACTATTCGTTGGCGCGTGCCTTCACCCTTTGAGCTTTCTTTTTGTTCAGTCGTTGGTCCCCAACTCTTCTGCATATGGTACGTTGACTGACAACATTGATGTTGGAGGTTGGCTTTTTGCACATGTGTCGTCTTTCCTCGGTCTGTACCATGCCTCCCGCTGTTCTCCCAAGTGCTGCTGGCGCTTGATTTGGGCTGCGCCTCCCCCCTCTGAGCGGCTGTTTGCGCAAGCGGGCCTCTTGTGACCTCAGATATGGTCTTTGGAAACTTGCAATGCGTTCTGCCGATCATTGGTTGCCAACCCGCTGTTCATCTGGCTTAGCTTGTAGTGCTTTACCCGATCTCACCCTCAAATCGGGGAACGGGTATTGTGGGTAAGAGGGTGAATCCAAACTGTACATCGACTCTGACCCACTCTCTACCATTTGAATATACCACAACATCCAATGATCTTATAGCTTTGCTTTAGGCGTACCGTATAGTCATCGCAGTTGTGTCGCTTTGACTTGGGATCTCGCTCAAAAAGCGTTCGAACAATGTTCTGAACAATCACTATGTGAGAACATGGTCCAGCACTCACGGAACATCACCAACGTCGAGTCGCCGTCAGCATTCCATCGCCAGACCATTCGGAATCGATCGATAAACAATCGGGACACCATGAACGAACAATCGAGACACCACAAAGCAACCATCGAGACAAAAAACAATTCGAACACATCGGGACACCATCAACGAAACCATGGGACACAATCGGGGCACCATCGACAAACCACGGGGACACTGGGAAAGCATCAACAAACCATCAAGACTACGCCGAGACGTTATTGAACCCTGCAACGCGAACGTCCGTTAACGGAACAATAATTCAAATCTTAGACTGAGGGAATCGGGTCCTGGTGGAGACTGGTCCTGGATCCCATGGCTTTCCCTGAGAGCTGCTTTCACCCTGTGGGAGAACGACTGCGTAAATAAGTTCATAGGTCACGATTTCTCCTACTGAAGACTGCCCCTAGTGGACTCTGAGACAACCTGGCATAACGCGCGCAACTTCGCACGTATGACATGTCACGCACAATACGAGCACGAGATGTGAGCCTCGGCGTCCTGACTG